CCCAAAGGGAGAATGTAAGGGCCAGCTTCCATCTTCATCTCCCAGCTCCACAGCACCCTAATCTTCTGATATTTTCTGAGTTTCCTATTGCAGAATTACAGAATCTCTGAACTGCAAGGAACCTCAAAGGTCATTGAATTCACACCCTCCCCACCCCATTCTCCCCATTCACCTACACACTTTAAATAGAAACATTCTTTACACCATCCCAGGAGACTGTCATCCATTCTCTTGCTTAAAATCTCCAGTGACAGGACACCCCCTGTCCAGGACACAGTTCACTTAGGACTGCCTCCTGACACAGACTATTTCACTTTGAGACAGTTCTAACCTTTGGAAAGATTTTCAATATACTGAGGCTAAATCCTCTGTAATGTCTGTGATCTGGCTCTGGTTCTGCCCTTCAGGGCAAAGCATAATGAGTCTAATATCTCTCCTACAACTTTTTGGATATTCGAAGGCAGTGATGAATTTCCCCCACAAACCTCTCCAAGCTAAACATTCCGAATTCCTTCAATAGCATCTCATACGGCATGATTTTGAGTCTTTTACCCTTTGCTAATGCTTTCCAAGCAGCACTGGAAATGGAAGCCACGACAGGATGGGCAAGAGTGATGGTACAAAGGACTTTGCCTTGTAAGAAATGTGTACATCTTGGCCAAGTCCTAGTAGAATGCCAGACATTCTACACAGAAATCACTTGCTGACTTGCCTGTGTCCCATCCAATGGGCCACACCCATCATTGGTATTAATTGTTGTTCTCATTCTTCTTAGCTTATATGAGTTTCAGATAAAAATGGTCCTGGATAAGTAGCCATTCTACTATTCTTTTGTGCTTATCATTTGGTGAACTATTACACAGCCAAATAAAACAATTATTTCTGGAGACTGAATAAAAATGTTGGAATGTAGGCTCATCTTCAATAGGCTCACTGAATATATCTTTTGAGACAATCCAGGGGCAGAGAAGATGACAAAGATGATTTGTTCTTCATCCTGTTCTCACATAGCTTTGGTATCTTTATCTAGTTCCCAGATTTTGAGAGCTCTTCATTTTACATAGTTCGGAGATTATGAGAATTCAGTATTATTCTATCTATTAAAATGTAGTTCTTAAATTTGTATGGAAAGATATTATGACCAGGCAATGGTAGATGGCAATTTTGTTGGTGATGATGTTCCGATTCCAGTAGGTTAATTTGATGAATTCTCAAGATATTTGGGGTTCATGTGAAATGTGTCATCTATTAATTGATGAAGAATATCAAGTATGCATAGTTCTGGCCACTTGATTGTTTCTTTCTAGGCTTTTTTGTAGGTGCTAAATTTGTGCATCTGTTGCACAATTTCTATTCTTTCCTTGCATAATCTACATTGATCAATAGGTGCAGACTCCTTAAGGATGCTCTTTCTATAATTTCTGGCAGCAATGACCTAGTCTTAAGTTGCTAGCATAAATGTCTCTGTTTCTGTAAACAAAGCCATATGACTCAACCCTTTTTTCAATGTTTCTTTGTCAACATATTATTGGCAATTGTAATAAGATCCATTGTATGTCACCCATTAAGGGTCTTTTGGTTCTGCTCTGGGATCCTAACCATTTCATGGATTCTAATTGAAGTAAACCAATACTGGTCACATCTGGTGAGTCAGCAGCCTTATCCCTACTGTTAGCCTTTAATATTGCTTCACGAAGTGATATCTGCTTGTTACAGAACTACCTCTATTTTTAACTCATTTAATATGTAATCTGAGAACATTACTGCTATTATCATTATCATCATTATCATTATATTATCGTTGTTGTCATTAATATTATTCTATCCAGGGGCAGCTAGGTGGCACAGTGGATGGAACTCTGGCCTTGGAATCAGGAGGACCTGAGTTCAAATCCAGCCTCAGACACTGGACGCTTACTAGCTGTGTGACCTTGGACAAGTCACTTTATGAAAAACCAAAAAAAAAAATGTATTATTCTATCCAGAACCTGTGACGTTATTGGTATAGGGAACTCCTCCCTATGTAGATCTGCAACTCTTACAACTTTTAGTTTTATGAGAGTTGATGGGAGCACTGATTCAATTTGTTCTGTATTAGACTCAGAACTTGAACCTAGGACCTCCTGACTCTGAGACTGGACTTCTATCCACTATGTCATGCTGCCCTTCACTAAAGGTATTGTTATTCCCATTTTACAGATGAGAAAACTAAGGCTCGGAGAGGTTAAGTAACTATATCAAGCTGTCAAAATCAATAATTACTATTCTATTTGTAGTCTAAAGTTTTAATCACTCCAGAAATGTGAGCTTTTACTACGTAACCAAGATCAAGCCTACTCAAAGAAAATGATAAAATCAAGAGAAATATGTATTCAAATGTAAACCCCCCAAGGTGCATGATGGCATATACCTATAATGCCCATTACCAGGGAGGCTGAGGCTGGCAGATCTCTTGAGCTTGAGAGTTCTGAGTTGCAATGTGCTAAGGCGTCCACACCAATTCTGACCCCTGGGAGAGGGAAGCAACCAGGTTGACTATAGAGGGATGAACTGGGGCCAGGGGTGGGGAACATGAAGCCTCAAGGCCACATGTGGCCTTCCAGGTCCTCAGATGTGGCCTTTTGACTGAGTCCAAGTTTTACAGAAGAAATCTTTTTACTAAGGGGGTTTGTTGAGGACCTAGAGGACCACACGTAGCCTTGAGGCTGCAGGTTCCCCCACCCTGCAGGCCATGTCTGAAACAGAGCAGGTCAAAGCTTTAGTGCTGATTGGAATGGAACCAGGATTGTGAGTAGCACCTGAACTTACAGCCAGGTTGGGATAGGGAGGCAAAATTGCATTGGTTTTTTTAAAAAATCTATATCTATATATGTGTATATATATATATACCTACAGATGTAGATACAAACATAGATGTATAGATATATATCTATGTTTGTGTAATATGTGTACATGCCACCTAAAGAAATGGATGGCACCAATATCAATAAAAATATAACACAGGTCAGAAAGTAGTCCTATTTTTCTATAAGAGACTTTTTCCCCTGAGGAAGTGAGGGGGTGAGTGCCAGCAAGATGATCCATGTAATAATAGTCTGAAAACATTCCCCTGAGTGTGTTTTGGGAGTCTCTCATTGTGATTCCTGGTATTTATTATAACCCTCAGGCGCATAACAATGTACCACTGTAACACATCACTGGGTGCAAATCCTGTTATTTAAGAACAATTACAATACCAAAAAAGATGTTCATCTGCTTCAGATTTACTAAGGGTGGTTTCATAAAATTTCATAACTGCAGCTGTAAGGGATCTTAGGAACCATAAAGTCCTATCCTCCTCCTTCCTACAGAGGAGAAAACAGACACCCAGAGAGATGGCAAAGCAGGGTGCTATAAAGATAGGTGCTCTGGGCTGATCTCAGAAGGCCTGGGGCTTCGGCCCCTTTATACTTGCTATGTATTCTTTCTGCATTATAGCTTGTGTTGATGCCATCCTCCTAACAGACTTTAAGACACCCAGAACTATGGTTTAACCAAACTTTCTATCTCATCCAGTACCCAGCAAAGTACTCTGTACACAGATGCTTATTCTTGGGCACGTAGGTGGCACACTGGAGCGCTGGGCCTGGAGTCAGGAAGACCTGAATTAAAATCTGGCCACAGACACTTAGTAGTTGTGTGACCTGGACAAATTACATTACTCTGTTTGTCTCAGTTTCTTCATCTGTATAATGAACTGGAGAAGGAAATGGCAAACCACTCCAGTGTCTTTGTCAAGAAAACCCCAAATGGGATCCCAAAGAGTTAGACCCAACTGAACGACAAAAAGGTTCCTTCCAATTCTAATAGCCTATAGGTCTAGAAAGTTAAGATAGTCATATAGTTACCTTAGTAAGTAGCAAAATTAGGACTAGAACTCAAGTTTCAGCACGATGAGCCCAGGGAAACAGAAATCCCAGAACTTACTTTGTATAGATTTGTTACTGTTTGTCCTTAGTTTTCAAAGAGGACCAATGACATCACAGGGTGATGTCTTAACTTGCCTGTGAATTGGATTAAATGAGGCAGAGCTGCTCAAAGTCATCTACCTCACTCTTCCTGAGCCATCAAAATCCAGTGACAAGATAAAAGTCAGAACGATCAGCAATGGCCCAGGAATGCAGTGATGACCTTGGTGTTTTCAATGTCTGACTAAGCTCTAAGTGGTCCACAGCACCTGCTGTAGACACCTTTGTGGCCATTGGGACAAACTGTTCTCATCTGCCCGTTCTGCTGGGAGAAGTCCTCACATGCTTGGCATAGACACCCCCTAACTCATGGATGGGTTTGTGGCCTGTTGGTTACCTAGAACCTGGTTTAGCCCATCTGCCACGCTGGTTTTCCCGTGGTGTCACGCTTCACCTGCTACTGCTTCTCAGAGCCAAAGGTGAGAGCTGGGTGAAGGTAAACACCAAAGATGGATGAGCGGCCCTTCAAAAGGCTCTGCAAGCCCTCACACAAGAAGTGCTAGTCCTCTTTAACACCCCACACACTCCAACAGCTCCAGGAAACCTGTGGCTTACCTCACCCTGGTTTAGCCCTTCTATGGAGATGGTTTTACTGAGGTGTGGCTACTGCACATGCTACAACTTCTTAGAGCCACATGTGAGAGTCAGTGACAGGTGAACACCAATGGTGGATGAGAAGCCCTGAAAAGAACTCAGCAACACTTACACCAAAGGTGCTGGTCCTCCTGAACACCCTATACATATTCAAAGTTTATATGTGTGTGCATATGCACAAAGTATATATTATTTTATACATATTTTGTACTGTACATGCATCCCCTCCTCCAAGTAGAATGGAAGCTTCCTAAGGGCAAGGACTGTTTCATTTTTGTTTTTATATTTCCTGGCACCTAGTATGGTGCCATGCGTTTAGTAGATAGTTAACAAATGTTTGTTGAAATGGATTGGACTGTTAAAAAGGACACCATTTAGAGTAAGAAAAACTCGATTTAAGTCCTGACTCCCATATTTATCAGTTGCATCAACTTGGTAAGGTCATTTCTTCGCCCTGAGTGTTGTTTTCCTCATCTGTAAAAGAAGGCTATTAATAATCACACAAACTAAAACAACTTGTTATCTGCAAAGTACTACAGAAACCAGAACTATGGTTGTTATTTCCACCCTACCATCTCCCCTCCTTTACCCAGGTTCTGTTTTTGTTTAGATATTGTTGCTGCTGCTGCTCATTTTTATTTAAAAATAAATCCTAAAAGACCAAGCTGAATGAAAGTGAAGTGCGTACAACTAGGATGTAATAACAGGAGATAATATGTCAATATCACTGAATAATTTTTTCCCAAACCAAAATATGCTAACGTTTGAAAGAGATAATTCATCTTTACCTAAAATTCTAAGTGCCTGCTGGCGGTTACCTTGGTGACATTTAAAGCCTCATCCTCCACTTCAGCCAGCCTCATGTTATTATGCAAACTCTATAGCCAAACAAGTCAACAGGTTGCCGAGGAAACAGTTTCCTTGACAACCGTGTGCATGGAGGGGGGGACATAAAGGTTTGGGAAATGTCAGCTCAACAACAGTATGTCAGGAAGGAAAAGGCCTTTTTGACACTGCTGCTGATCTCTTCCTGACTTGCACTAACCTGCAGGAAGATGAAACTAGGAATAGCAGTATAGTTGAGCACTGGGTCTTGAATCAAAGGACCTGGTTTCAAATCCTGGCTCTACCATTTACAATCTGAGTGACCTTGAGCAAATCACTTAATTTCTCTCAGTTTCCTTATTTGCAAAATAAGAGATAATAAAGCTCAGACAGACTATCAACAATTTTTGGTTCCCCCCCCATTTTATAGATGGGTAAATAGAGACCCATGAAGGTTAAATGACTTTCCCTAAGTCATCCAGGAAATTGGGCTTCTTTGTTGTTAGTGAGTTGCGTCTGACTCTTCATGACCCCATGGATCATAGCACTCCGATGCTGTCCATGGGGTTTTCCTGGCAAAGTATTAGAGTGGTTCACCATTTTCTTCTGCAATGTATTAAAGCAAACAGAAGTTAAGTGACATGCCCAGAGTCGCACAGCTCATAAGTGTATGAGGCTGGATTTGAACTTGGGCCTTCCTGACTCCAGGCCCAGCAATCTATACACTGAACCATCCAGCTACCTCAAGACATTGGGCTAGATCTCAAAGACCTCTTTATGCTCCAAATCAGAAGTACCAAACATGTTGCCCACAGTACTACTGAGTGCTGTCTGAACCAGATTAGATTTTAATTGGGAAATTTTAACAAAATTAATAAAAATTCAATAAAATAGGAGCAGCTAAGAGGCACAGAGCACCAGCCCTGAAGTCAGGAGGACCTGAGTTCAAATCCGGCCTCAGACCAAACACTTGACACTTACTAGCTGTGTGACCCTGGGCAAGTCACTTAACCCCAACCGCCTTAAAAAAAATTCAACAAAATAGATAAAACTAATATATAGTTTTCTGACTCAATATGCAGCCCAAAGGGAATCTTATGAATGGTTCAGTGGCCCCTGTTTTTATTTGACACCACTATTGTAAATCCTATGCTGCTAATTCATTTTATATAAAGGAATTGGGGAAATGGAGGAAATGTGTCCTAATGCAAAGTTGTTTGTGAATTCTTGGTCTACACACAAGATATTGAGACCAAAAGTAAACAATACAACTTATCCATTGTGGCCACTTAATCCATATGCAATGATGCTTGTCCAGTTCCACACCTGGTGCCATATTTGAAAGATTGTGGAGAGTGGGAGAGGTACTGCAGGAACAAAGATGGGTAAATGTTCTGATTTTCAAAAAAGGAAAGAGAATAAAACTCATAAATCAAAAGACAATGAGCTTGATTCATTTCCTGGCCAAATTCTAAAACTCTAGATAACTAATGGATGGTTAATGAATTTCTAGAAAAGGAAGAAGGCATCACAAGAATCTGCATTGCTCCATCAAAATAGATCATGATGAACTAACCTGAAGTCCTCTCTTGACAAGATTGCTGAACTGGTAGATTTGGAGACTTTACTGATAGAGTTTCCCTACAATTTAACAAAGCATTTAATAAACTGTCTCGCTCTATTTTTGATGAAAATAGAGATATGGTTAGATAATAGTAAAATCAGATGGATTTGGAACTGGCTGAATGACTAGACTCCAAGAATAATCAGTGTTTCCATGTCAACCCAGAGGGGAGGTCTCCTGTGGAGACCCCAGGGACCTGTACTTGGCCCTGGCCTCATTAACACTTTTATCAATGATTTGGATTAAGTCAAAGAGGATGTCTTGTCACATTTGCAGATGACACCAAGCTAGGGGGGATAATGTGGGGCCTCTGATGCCACAGCCAGAGCTCTTTCCACAAAACACATTGAAAGGCATAGCTCTTAAGCATAAGGAGGTGGTGGTACTATTGAATTCTGCCCTCATCAGAGGACATCTGGAGGACTGTGCTCTTTTATGGGTACCATAGCTCAGGAAGGACATTGAGAAGCTGAGGAATGTCCCAGGATGCACAACCAGGACTATATAAGACCCTGAGGTCTTCTATTGCCATGTGAGGATCAATGGAAGGAATTGGGAACGTTGAGCTGGGAAAAGAGAAGGCTGAGGGGTGACAGGATAATTCTTCAGATATTTAAAGGGCTATCACATGGATGAGGGATGAGGTTTATTTTATTTACCCCCTGGAGAGCAGGCCCAGGAGCAATGGGTGGAAGTTATAAAGAGGGATGTCAGGAAGAACTTCCCAACAATTAGAGCTGCCCAGAAGTGTCATGGTGCTACCTTGGGGGGTGAAAGTGCTGTTCCCTGTCACTAGAAGTTTTCAGGAAGAGAGTGGATGATCACGTCTGAGATATAGTAGGATTCCTTTGCAGAGTTATGGGTAGAATGAGATGGTTACTGAGAGCCCTTCCAACTCTGAAATCCCAGAATTCTGTGATTTTATGAAAACTGCCTTGTCTCTTTGTCTAACCAAAGACACGGCAGCATCTTTTGTGCAATGATGATGCCTTTTCAAATGAACTCCCCATAAATAATTTCTCATTTTATGACTTTTCAATTATGTGAGTGAGTCCTGAGGCTAAATTATGGGGAGGAAAAAACAAAGAAGAGGATGTCAGGAGGCTCCAGGACTAGTCTAGGCCTGGGCTGCCTTTCAAAAAAATCCCTTCTGCACTTGGCTGTCTCCACAATATTCCCCTCACTTGCTTCTGGCTTAAAATTGTTTGTGATGACATTGTGCTCTGCACATAGCTCGAAAACTTGTAGGAAAACCCTGTCAGATCCAGCAAATCCATAACTGTTCCCTTCTCATCATCAATCTGTTTCCAAAGAAATTTTACTGACATGCATTGATTAGTTTCCTTGCTCATTCGTGGTGTCACTTCCCTCTCTCTCTCTCTCTCTCTCTCTCTCTCTCTCTCTCTCTCTCTCTCTCTCTCTCTCTCTCTCTCTTCTCTGTGTGTTTCTCTGTCCCTCTGTCTCTCTCCGTCTGTCTGTCTGTCTCTGTCTCTGTCTGTCTCTGTCTCTCCCTCTCTCTTTCCCTGTCTCTCTGTCCCTCTGTCTCTCTGTCTGTCTCTCCCTTCTGTCTCTCCCCTTCTTTCGCTTCCTCTTTCTTTCTTTCTGTCTCTCTCTCCTTTTCTTCTGTTTCTTTCTGTGTCTCTCTCTCCTCTTTCTCCCCCTCCCTTCTATCTCTCCCATCTTCTCTTTATTCTCTCTCTCTCTCTCCCCATCTCAGTGCTTCTTCCCTTTCTTTTCCTCTCAATTCTCTCTCTCTCCTTCTCTCTCTTCCCTCTTTCTTTCTCTTTCTGCCTCTTCTCTTTCTGTTTTTCTATCTCTCTTTGTTTCTCTCCCCCTTTTCTCTTCTCTTCTCTCTCTCCTTTGTGTCTATATTCCCTTTCTCTCCCCTTCTCTTTCCACTATCTTTCTTTCTCTTTCTCTCTCCCCCCTTTCTCTCTATCTCTCTACTCTCTCTCACTTCATCTCTCCCCTCCCTCTCTCTTATTCACTACACCCTATTCTACAAAGTCAAGTATGGCATGTACTGAAAAGAATCCTTGGACTTAGCATCAGGATACCACCTAAGCTCAGGTTGTGGCTTCATCCTCCAGTAGTTTATGTCACTTTGGGCAAGTCACAAGGTCAATCAACCTCTTAGAGACTTAGTTTTCTGATCTGTAAAATACGTGTAATCATAACTATACTGCCTACCTCACAAGGTTGTTATGAGGATTAAATAAGAGATATGAAAGCACTTTGTAACTCTAAATTAATTTACAGATTATTGCTACAATATTTCAAGAGGGAGGTGTGATTTACTCATTTGCAGAGAATATTCTGTACACCTAGGCAGATGATAACTTCTTTATAGCTTAAAATCTGTTATTGGATAATGCTATAACTAAGTTTCATCACCTTGTACCTGATCTAGAAAGAAACTTGGTGGTGAATAGAAATAATAATAATAGCCAGCATTATAGTGTTTTAAGGTTTACAAAGCACTATACATGTGATACAGCAACTCTGGAAAGTAGGTGTTACTATCCTCATTTTACAAATAAGGAAACTGAGGCAGACAGAGGTGAAGTGACTTGCCTGAGGTCACACAGTATCTGAGGTTAGATTTGAACTCAGGTCTTCCTGACTCCAACTAAAGCACTCTATACACCGTGCCACTTTAACATTGTCATAATCATTATTACTCTTTTCTCCTCAGATACCCATCATAGAATCATAGAATGTTAGAACTGGAAGGGAGCTGAGAAATTATCCTAGCTCTCATTTTACAGAGCAGGAAACTGCGACTCCTTTCCATCTCCAAATATTATTTCACTTTAAATATCTGGCCTTATTTTTTTTAACTAAAAGAAGAACTTTCCTTGCCTAACCCTTTCATTCAAGTACTTATGAGTTAAATATGTTATTTATGAAGAGAAATCAAGCCTACCTTTCACACTTTCGGTACAGTTAAAAGGCCAAATACTTAGATCCCAGAGAGCTGTTAAGAGGGGTGTACATGTGGTGGGAAGATCTTCCAAGAGGGTTTTTAGAGTGTCTGGGGGAGTTGAGTTCTTCAGTCACTCTGACCCAGGGGTACTGGTTGGAATATTTCTAACCTTCTGACTTTGGAAAACAGTCTGGAAAAGAAATACAACCATGGGACCAAAAGCTGAAAGCTTCCCAGTCTTCAGCAAGAATAAAGATACATTGTTTTTCTTCAACCACATTTTATCTTTCACTGTCCTTGACAAAGGGGGAAAAATTCACTGGGGTGCAGGAGAACAGGATTTGCATTCATAATAGCCCCATAGAAGGTGAAACTTCCTGGGGAGTGCTAGGGATTATCATGTGAGAAGTGTGATAAGAAAATGGGAAGAAGGGGGGAAAACTCTGTTCAGATTCTGAATAACATGAGCTAAAAATACCCACAGTGCATGTCATTTATAAATTCAAAGGGCTGTTTAGACAATACTGTGATCAGGCAGCAATTGATACATATTTCTCCCCCCTCCAGTGATTAGATACTGCCTGATTTTTGAGTGCCTCACGACTTCCTTGACATTGCTTTTGAGGGTGGCAATCTAATTTCTATTTCTGATTTGCTTGCAAAGGGGTCTCAATTACTGCTTTCACTCACCCCAGATGGTATGACTCTCCTTGGATCAGAGGACAGTGGGCTGGGGCTGCATCTAAAATGAATGCATGTATGAACAAACAATTACAAATGAGCATTTCTTAAGTACTTACTGTATGCCAGGCCCTGTGCTAAATGCAGAGGATACAAAAACAAAAAATGAATAATTCTCTGCCCTTGAGAAGCTTACATTCTAATAGAAGAAAACAACACACACAGGAGAGTGATAGCCAGAGAAGGGAATTTTGGTGTATGAAGTTAAAAAGATAGTGAGTTGATCCACAGGCCTGTTCAACTGACATGACCTTTCCAGAAGGAATGGTACAATTGATTTGACTACTGAGGACAAGGGAAGGGAGGGAGGAGAGTGCCACCTCTGGGCAGATATCAAGATGACTCAGATGAATGGCTGGACTCAAGATGGGGCAAGCCCAGGTTGGGAGTTTCAAAGCTGAATGCTTTTATTTCTCCAGGCATTCTGAATCAGAAATTCTGAGGGTCTGGTTGGAGGAGAGTGCTGGTCCAGGTAGGAAGAAACCTAGAAGCAGCAGGTAGATGGCCTGAGTAGACTGCTGGATGAGAAGTAAAATAAAACACGGAGACAAGGAGAATCAAGCTCAGAAAAGAAGAGAAATGGGAAAAAGTGGCAGAGGAAGACTGAAGTTTACTTAGTCCAAAACACAGTAGAAGGAGTTCTCATAGGGAAGAAGCCATGGAGTAGCTACCTCCTCTCATCAGAGCAAGAAAAAATGGCAATACAGACAATAAAGGGATCTGGTCCCCCTGAAAAAAAAATAACTGAATGCTCCACTCAGCATTCGGAGGGAGCTGAACACACAGCCTGCCTCAAAGGACAAGAATGACCAGGGCAAAGCTTTCAGGAGATAGCATAGTATAAGGGTCCCACCCTTTGTTTGAACGCTAGTACCACCACCTACTAGCCTTATCCATTTCTGTAAAATAGAGGTAATCTGTCCTCTGGTGCCACACAGAACACGGCTAATCCTGCTTACCACATGACAGCCCTTAGAATCAAAGAACACAGAGGCAGCTAGGTGACACAGTGGATAGAGCACCGGCCCTGAACAGGAATACCTGAGTTCAAATCCGGCCTCAGACACATAACACTTACTAGCTGTATGACCCTGGGTAAGTCACTTAACCCCATTGCCTAGCAAAAAAAAAAAAAAAGAATCAAAGAACACAGTTATCAAGTTACACACACACACACACACACACACACACACACACACACACACACCCCTCTTCCAAAAGACCAAAAGACTTCTATTCTGCAACCTAAATAAACATCCTCTGTTCTTTCAACTGTTGTTCATAGAGGAAGGAGACAAGTATTTATTTAGCACCTACTATGTACCAGGTACCATGCTAAGTGCTTTACAAAAATTATCTCCTTTAGTCATAGAGAGTGAACATAAGGTCCATCCTAGCTGCCCTTCTCTAGATTTTCTCCAGCTTCCAAACATCCTTCTTCAGAGCTAGAACCCAGAACTGAATCTAAACTACCACATATGGATTGACCTGGGCAGAGGACAGCAGGCTTGTCCTTCCCTCAGTCCCTGTGCCAGGAGCTTTCTCAGCTGCCACATCAGGCTTTTGATAAACACAGAGCTCTCAATCCACTAGAAACTTCAGATCCTTTTTGAACAAACTGATGTCTAGTCATGACTTCTCCTCTTGTACTTATAAATTTGATTTTTTAAAAATCCATGCAGGACCTTAAATTTACTTAATCTTGAACTTAAGAGGGTGATTTTTGGAACCCTTTTACATTTATTGCTTATTGATTTAGTTGCTAGGCTTGGTGAAGTACTTCTGTAATCTCTGCTACTGGGGAGTCTGGGGCTGGTGGAGTGCTTGAGTTTAGGAGTTCTGAGCTGCAGTGGGCTAAGCCAATAGACTGTTTGTACTAAGTCTAGCACAAATTAGTAAGCTGAAAATTAACATCATGGGAGTGGATAAGATTCCCAAGAGGGAAAATGTAAAGAGAAAAGAGAACAAGGAAGAATGCTTTTCAGGTCATCCATATTTAGGGGTGGGTTGGAAGAAGCAAGATGAGCCAGTGAAGGCTGGACTTAAGGAGGAAGAAATATTTGGGCAAATTCTTGGGGAAGTTGGATGGTCTTCTGTTAAGACAGCTAGGGTAGCTTGCTGGATTACAGTCAGGAAGACCTGAGCTTAAAAATTGCCCCAGACATTTACTAAATAGGCACACACACGCACACACGCACACATGCATGCACGCATATATTTATTTGATCCTCATAATAACTCTGAGAGGATGGTGCTATTATTAGCCTCATTTTACAGATGATCAAACAGGCTGAAAGAGGTTAAATGGCTTACCCAGGGTTACATAGCTAGTAAATGTCAGAGGCAGTTTCTAAGCTCAGGTCTATGTATATATTATGTATGTATGTATGTATGTATGTATGTATGTATGTGTGTATATGTATGTATGTATGTATGTATATGTGTGTATTTCCATTTGATCCTCATAATAACCCTGTGAGAAGGGTATATAGCTATAGATAGATACATATGTAAATATGTGTGTATTATACACACACACACACACACACACACACACACACACACACACACCCTTAAAGGTCTATATAAATGCTACCTATTATTATTTGAGGCCAAATTCAAAATGTTGCTCAAATCATCGACACGCTGATGGTATACTCAAAGTGGGCTACTTCTACAGGTTAAGGAGAAGTAAAGGGAAGGAAGGGATTTTTGTCCTAGGGCTTTTAATTTTTCAGGGCATTTACTATTGGCCCTCAGTTACGAAGCGAAAGGCATCAGAAAACATCTCTGACTCTGGGGCTGGGGACTCAGTTCCAATGTCAGAGGGCAGAGTACAGAAATATAGCTGTGAGACAGTGGCAAGAACATCTGGCTGTAAATTCAGAGGAACTCGGTTTGAATCCGGGTTCTGCCGTTTGTGTCCTGTGTAACTAGGGACATATCACTATACTTCTTGAGGCCTCAGTTTCCTCATTTGTAAAGGGAAGGAATTGACTAGATGATCCCTAAGGTCATTTTGACCCTAAAACATAACAATAAATATAATAATGATGGCTAGAATTTATGTAGCTCTTTAAGCTTTGCAAAGTGTTTTCCATATATTATCTCATTTCCATATATTCCATATGTATTATCTCATTTGATTTTTACAACCCTATGAAGTAGGTACTATAATTATACCAGTTCTACAAATAGGTAAACTAAGACTAAGAGGGGTTAAGTGACTAGCCCAGGGTCATACAGCTAATGCATGACTGATGAAGGATTTGAATTCAGATTTTCCTGACTCCAAGTCCATCCAATATTCTATTCCTTACACCATCTAGCTACTTCATGGGATCACACATATATTACTGCCACGTGCTAAGGAATATATAGACTAAGCCATAGGTCAGATGTCAGGTAGTGACTATTCCGAAATTCTTTAGAAAGTTATGGAGCACTCAGGATTTTGCTGGTTTTAGCCTCAGCAAGCTCAGCCGAAGAGACTTTGGAGCAGGCCAGATTTGAGATTGCAACCCTACTTTCCCCACCTCTACCAAACAGAGACAGACAGACGGACAGACAGAGACAGAGACAGATGGAGACAGAGTCCCTGTCCCAGATAAGAGACCTGAAAGGTTTGCCTCCAGCTCAAGGAACAAGGGAATGACTAAATGTCTCAGCTACCTTAAGGAAAACATTCTCTAAAGCTTTAAGAAAGACACTTAAAGTAGTTCTGAAGAAATTATATGTCCACTTCCACTTCTGTGTGAAAAACAGGTTTTCACTGAGACATTCACCTCTTGCTTTATCTGTCTTCCATCTCCTGTCAAGAATTATGGGCTTTTCAAGCTGAAAGGGAGCCGAGAGAATGTGATGTCCAACTGTTCCATTGGATGGATGAGTAAGTGGGAGTAACCCAAGGTCACATAGCCAGCAGTTGCAGACCTGGAGCAAAAGGAACTAAACCCCAGTTTCCCACTGTACTTTCCCACTGTACTTTCCAAAGTACATCATTTGTCTCTTCTCTACACTGGTAGCCTGATTTAACTGACATTATAATAAAACAACATTACCCAACATCCCCATTTCGAACAGAAGAAGCTTAGGGCAGAGCTTTCCTTCATGTGCTCTCCAAATCAGGAGACTTGAGGAGACATTTCTTTTCCAGAGCATCATGGTACCATGGGGGGAAAGTCCTGAAATTGGAATCATGAGAGCCAGGTTGTAGCCTTGGCTCTATTCTGAACTTACTATTGACCTGAGGGAAGTCTTTCCTCTCTGGTTCTGTTTTTTCATCTGTAAAATGAGGGAGTTAGTTAAAATGTATTCTTTATAAGATCCCTTCTAGCCAGCATTCTATGTTCTAAAGCCCCATTGAGCCCTGATAGTTGCTATTCTTAAGCTCCTTCTTTCTCTAATTTTTTTATTCTAAGGTTCCCTCCAGCTCTGACATTCTACATTCTAAGGTCCCTTCAAGCTAGAACATTCTGCGATCAGTATTATAAATCATATGCTGAGAGGTTGGCACTGCTGAGGAATGATCTTTATGAGTTCATTTTATAAGCCCTGTTCCCTAGCAAGACAGAGAAAAGAGACTATTTTAAATTTCCCCTTTCTCCTTACATTCCACACCCCCTCTGGGGCATTTTTGCCAATGCTAAAGACACATTCAGGCTATATTGGTGGAGCCAATTCTTCACATGAATTTGAATATAATTACAAGTCTCTATTGCCTTTGGCAGGTGGCAAGGCTCTACCTGAATTTATAAATCACTGAATGTACCTAAAAATTATCTTAACCTCCCCCCCAAAAAATTCCTGCTTTTCTTTACTCTTCTTGTTACTTCACCTCATTCTCTGTGTTGCTCCAATTAATCTTTAGAGACCCCAAATGCTAGGAAAAAAGCACAGATCTACTTATTTTTCCTTAGATCCTTTTACCCTCTCCAGAAATCTTCCTAGTGGGCTTCTAACCTGCCACACACACCTCACATAATAGTATGCTGGAACATCTG